CAGTTGTTAGCTCATTGATTGGTTCATGTTGATGTGCCCTTTTTGTTTTTGGTATACTTTCTGTATTAAATGATGGGCATTTAATGATGGGCTTTCTTTTATATGCACACTTGTGGTTTGTGGTGCTTAATGGTGTTCATAGGCATTTAATTTGTTTTCTGTTCTTGTCACTTGTAATAAATTGATGAGGGGCTTTATCTTTTACATGCTTGTTGAACGAAATGCATAGTTATACTGGAAATGTCAATACTTTTGTTTATGTTATTTCGATTATGACGTTTCAATTGGAAAGTATGCATATTTGCTTAACTTCAATTATCATAAGAAACTGATTATTGTGGTTATATTTTAACAGCGGCAAACATGTTGTACTTGGAATCACCGGCTGGAGTTGGATTCTCGTATTCTGCTAATAGTTCTTTCTATGAATATGTCGACGATGAAATGACAGGTTTGAGCCTATGATTTGCTTAGCATGTTATGTTACGTAACTGGATTTGTGTAATCAGTTATTTTACATTACAGGACATTTTAATCTAAATATTTCTTGTGTTTGGTGTTTGTTTTTTTAGCTAGAGATAACCTTGCTTTCCTTGAGAATTGGATCGAAAAATACCCGGAATTTAAGAACAGAGAGTTTTACATCACAGGAGAAAGTTATGGAGGTATACATATGATTATCCTCTTTGCTGAGTGAAAATATCATTTACAATTTAAAAGTATTTAGCTCATTCAAGAATGAAAAAGCTTTTTTTTTTTTTGTTTTCTTTCTTAACAGGGCATTATGTTCCTCAACTGGCAAACCTCATTATCCAGTCAAAAGCTAAGCTCAACCTCAAAGGAATTGCAGTGAGTAACTCGTAAATAAATGTCCTAAGAGTTAAAACGTAAGCTGCTAATCGTAATCCTTGAATATGTTCTAAATGGAGAACAGATTGGAAATCCTCTTCTGGAATTCAATACAGACTTCAACTCGAGGGCCGAGTATTTGTGGTCACACGGGCTGATATCTGATTTCTCATATAACCAGTTCACGTTCGTCTGCAATTATTCCCAAATCCGAAGGCAAGCTGTGACCAAAACTCTAACACCTGAATGCTCGAGGGTGATAAAACAGGTCTCGTCCGAGATTAGTAGATTTGTGGATACCTATGATGTCACTCTCGATGTTTGTCTTTCGTCTGTTGTGCTGCAATCTGAGGTTCTCAATAAATTGGTGAGTTTAACAATTAAACTAGAGTTTAGACAAATGCTAGAATAACCGACTTTTGGCTGGAAAAAAACAATAAAAAATTCTTTCACTATCTTCTCTTAAAAGCAAAATAAAATTTATTCTATCGACTTTGATGATGTGTTTACAGCAGGATGAGCCAAAGATAGATGTATGCGTAGAGGATGAAACTGACGTGTACCTGAACAGAATAGACGTGCAAACGGCTCTTCATGCTCGTCTTTTTGGAGTTAAGAGATGGAGTATTTGCAGCGAGTAATAATTCGTTCCTTCTCCCTTTCCACTGTAAATATACTGAAAAAATTGCAAGCTTTACATGTTGAAAAAGTTGACTTTCAGAACATCCTGAATAAAAAAAAAAATCGAATCTTGATAATTAAGACCAACACATTCTTGCCAAATTATTAAGTTAGTTATGATATTTTTTGCATCTTTAACAATTTTCGAATACCTCTCGTATAATTTTTTCCCCTAAATTATTCGATTGTTTTCAGTGTTCTGCAGTACAACATGCAAAATCTAGAAACACCGACCATCGGCATTTTAGGATCACTAGTCAAGTCCAACATTCGGGTCTTAGTTTACAGGTAATTAAGCCCTTGCAATTTTAGTCCTTCAAACTTTGATTATCGCTTGCCAAATTTACTCGACTTTCACGTGTGAGATTAATTATTACAGTGGGGACCAAGATTCGGTTCTTCCACTGATATCGACACGAACGCTTGTTCATGGTCTGGCAAAGGACCTCGGTTTGAACACCACACAACCATACAGAGCTTGGTTCGAGGGTAGACAGGTCAAAAAATTTTCATCTCTATGTCTGAATATGTTAATGTTTGTTTTTAGAAACATGTCATAAATTCTTTCTAAAATTGGCAAAAATGTCAGGGTCATTTTTTTTATTTTTTTTTTTTGAATAAACCCATATATCGATAATTCTTTTTACATAGGTTGCCGGCTGGACACAAGCCTATGGTGAATATTTATCGTTTGCCACCATTCGTGGAGCCTCACACGAAGCTCCCTTCTCGCAACCCGAGAGGTCGCTCGTCTTGTTCGGCTCGTTTGTTGGGGGAAAGCCATTGCCGTTAGCAACGGGCCTAACGGCATAGCAAAGAAGAAGAAACTTTGTTGACAATGGATAAGAGACTTGGGCAAATAAAATCATGTTTGGATTAGGTGATTTCTTGATCTTTAAAGTATCTTGAAAGATACTTTGGAGTGTCTTTGGGTCTCAAGATTAATTTTTTAGCATCTTATCATTTTTTACCATGTTAATTTTTATTATGTATTTGGGATAACAAATTACAAATCCATTTTGCAAGCCTATCGCTCCCAGAACAAGAGAATAACACTCCCACGAAAAATACTAACTAAAAAAACTTTAAAAGAAAAAAAAAGCACAAACTATAAAAAAACAACCTAAATAACATACCAAATCCATTTTCAAGATACTTAAAACACCAAGATATCATTTAATTCATAATTCAAAACACAATATTTATTTGCCAAACTCTCTTTTTATTCATTGCCTAACAAGTGGTTTTTTTTTTTTGGTACAAGCCTAACAAGTGGTTGATTCTATGCCTTGAGCTATGCCTTCACTACTGGCAACGGTTTTCCGGCAACAAACGAGCTGAACAAAAGAAGAGACCTCTCGGGTTGCGAGAATGGAGCCATGTGTGAGGCCCCACGTATTGTCGCATACGATAGATAGTCACCGTAGGATTGTGTCCACCCAGCAACCTATATATGAAAGCATCACAAGTTTTTTTTATTTTGCAAGTCATGTCCAAGAAGTACAAATGCTAACAAAAGCATTAAACTTTCAGACACATATATATGGATTTCGGACCTGTTTTGCTTCCAACCAAGCTCTGTACGGTTGAGTGGTGTTCAAGCCGAGTTGTTTAGCCAGCTGGTTAACTAGCGTTCGGGTCCCAATCAGTGGGGTAACAGAATCTTGGTCCCCACTATACAACATTTTCGCAACATTAGCTTTTGAGTCTCCAGTAAATTTCGCAAGTGATCATCAATTTTAATCATAAACCCGATTGTGAGGACTTACCTGAAAACTAAGACTCTGATGTTGGACTTGGCTAGTGATCCTAAAATGCCATTGGTCGGTGTTTCTATATTTTTCCTGTCATAATCTACAACACTGAAGCCAAACAAATTAAATTATGAAAACTCGGTAGATTTTCAACTGAAGTGAGAGGAAACAATTACCTGCTGCACATGCCCCATTCCTTAACTCCAAAAAGACGAGCATGAAGAGCCTTTTGCACGTCTTTTCTGTTCAGGTACACGTACGTTTCATCTTCTACACATACATCTATCTTCGGCTCATCTCTCTATGAACAATAGCATGAATTAATGGGCATTTTAGCATATACTTTATTTTGTTTTTTTTTTTTTGAGATAAAAGATGGTAATTAAACTAAAGACTGCGTGTTTTCGACCAAAAGCTATTAATCACTTGTTTTTCAGCATTTGTAAAACACAAACCTGAGTGAAATCTACCAATTTATTAAGAACCCGAGCTTGCAACGCAACAGGCGACAAACAAATATCGAGAGTGACATCATAGTAATCCACAAAATCACTTATCTCGGATCTAAGCAGTTTGGACACCCTTTTGCAATCAGGTGTCATGGGTTTGTTGTCATATTGCCTTAATATTTGAGAATAATTGCACACGAAAGTCAATTGTTTATATGTGAAATCGGATATCAGACCGTGAGACCACCAAAACTCGGCCGCCGAGTTCCTATCTGTATCGAATTCCAAAAGAGGATTTCCTATCTGTTTACCATCGTCAAAAAGTCGAGAAAATGCATTATTAAACAAACTTTACTTCTTTTTAATATTAAGGATTTGATTTAGAGGTTACTCACTGCAACTCCTTTGAGGTTGAACTTATTAGCTTTTGTTTGAATAATGAGGCTGGCCAGTTGTGGAATATAATGCCCTGTTTAGAAAAAAATGCATTCATTATCACTTAACAAAGATGAAAATAATATATATGTAATAACCTTACCTGCATAACTTTCTCCAGTGATGTAAAATGTTCTATTCTTAAATTCTGGGAATCTTTCAATCCATTTCTCTAAGAACTTTAGGTTATCTCTAGCTAAAAAGAACAACAAACAAACTTAGACTAAATACCCCGTAAACTAGCGATTACATAAATTACATTACACGAAACTGCGAATTATATAAATATCGTAACGGTGTTAAGGTCACAAAACCTGTGATTTCGTCGTTAACATATTTGTAGAAGGATTTTTTAGTGGAATATGAAAATCCAACTCCAGCTGGTGATTCCAAGTACAACATATTTGCAACTGCAAAAAAGTTTATTTGGTATTAAAACAACCATCACTTATTAATCAAGAATGTAGTAATTAAGAAGGGGGGAACATTCACATGAATTAACTAATTTACCTTTATTCCAGCTGTAGTTATTTCTAACCAAAACCTTCCCACTTGGTTGAAATGGACCATTTTCAGTTAATCCTCCACCTCCAAGAGACGAGCAGCCGGGCCCTGTAAAATTGAAACCTTTTCATTGTTTTCGCTACAAAAAAAAAAAAATTTCATAAACACGAAGGGACTTATTTCATCTGACGTGACATACCTCCGTTTAACCAGAGAACAAGAGGCTTTGAATCAGGCTCGGTTTCTGCTTCCACAAAGTAATAAAAAAGGTATCTTTCCTGTTTTTCGTCGACGTTAATGTAGCCTGAGTATTGCAGGAAGCTGGCATTTGGTTGGCCAGGTAAACTTGCTATCTTATCACCTTCTTTGGATTGGCACACAACTTTTGTGATCATTGCAATATTGTGAAATGCACATATTATCAGCAAGGTTAGTGACCATGCTTGAGTTGTCATTTTGTGAGACTTGAGGGGCAGAATAGAAAATTTAGGATGTTTTTGGTTAGAGGTGATTTTATTAAGGTGAGAGGTTTAAGGCCTTTTTATACTTGAAAATATTTGTGAAAGTTACTGTTTAATTTCATGCATGCTATTGGTAATAATTTCGAGCAAGAAAGTAAGTTTAATTCACGGTTTTTTCTTCAAAGAAGATATTTTCAAATTTTCTATTATTACAAACATGTCCGAGTACCTTTAAAAATTTATTTTTTTAATTAGAAATCGTACCAATAAAAATATGATCTAAGATTTCAATCTCTATTTATAGGCCCCTATTTTCATACCAACATGCTGTTGTTTTACCTCTTTATATTTTACTATATTTTATTTATTTTTTCTTGATGTTCTCGACTTTGGCGTGTTTATAGCAAGACAAGACGAGCCGAAGATAGATATTAGATATTTTTTCTTGACGTTCTTGACTTTGGCGTGTTCATGCTCGACTTGTTTAAGTTATAAAATGGACCACTTGCCAGAGTAATTGTTTCGCTCGTTTAAACTGAAAATATTTATATCTATAACTATCTATCTATCTATATATATTGAAAAAGGTTGAAGGAAAAATCATTTATAGAAAGTTAAAAAAATGAGTCAATTTTTTTGACTTATCACTTATGGAAAAAGCAATTCAAAATTCAAAATTTTATTTAGTTTTCAAATATGGAACAAACAACAATACCATACTTAACGCATTAGATAAGATATGGTATTTTAAATTCTATTTTCCAAAGTTCCAAAAGATCCAAATTTATATTAGTTTGCTAATTGTGTATATCAAATGAATTTTTATTCTTTATTAATTATGTAATCGTGTGATTTGAAAATATCTCATTTTATTGGCCTAGTTGATTGAAAAATTACTTTTTTATTTTTTAGAATACTGATTTTTTTTTTATTGAACTTATACCTCTATATATATAATTATATATAGAGAAGAGATCATATGTGAATGATTGATACTGAAAGAAATAAGAATAAATAATTACTATTATAATAAGAAAATAATTTATAGTAACATATTTATATATATATTTCTAAAAACATTTGAATTAAAATATGTTACAATAAATTATTTTCTTATCATAATAGTAATTATCTAAATCAAATTAGAATACTATTTTTTATTGATTTTATTCCTAAATTATTTTTTAAAATGTGTGGGAAACAAATTGTTGATACAAATTTTTGTTTAAAACTCTTTTAAAAAAGGAAAAAGGCTATTTGTACAACTTTATTGTCCTGATAAATAGAATGGACGAGTATAATTAATCAAAGATTACCTCAGTAAAGCAAAATAAATTGTAATGCCATATGCAAGTAAAAAACTTGCAATAATTTGTTACCTAATCTATAGGTTACACAACATATTTGAAGGATATTTGCTTGATGTTACATCCATGTATAATATTCTGTTTTTTTTTTTTTTTTTCTATAGGATATATCAATTTAAAAATATTAGTCAAAAGTATTTTGCATAAAAAATCTGCAAAAATTTTATCATAATTTATTTTAGGAAACATGCACGTATAAAATAGAATATATTACTTTTAAAAAATTCAACATTATCAGTGGAGTACCCATTCGGATGATTGTTCTGCACTATTGCTTCCGAGTGTAAGATACTCCCAGGGGATCACGAAGGTGAGAAGATGTTGATTCCTAAATGACTATAACTCATTTCGATGTTAGAATTCCCTTCGAGTTATAGCGGCGACAATCTTCTATTATTGTTTTATATGCCATGATGTAAACAAGTGACAGGGACAACCGTTATCGCATGCTAGTTTATTTCTTAAGAAGTTGATTTTTAGTCATGATCAATTATATGTTGTTGCCTCTCGTGTCATCAACCGAAGTGGTTTAAAAATATTACTCTGCGGAGACGATGACTTACCACCAAATCAAAATAAAAATGTTGTGTACAAGAAAATCTTTAATAACTTATTTTTTAATTTGTATATGACACATTTACTTTTATTACATAACATGCCTATTAATTTTAATACTGAATATTTTAATTATTCCAGCAAAAAACATTATTCTGTGCATTGCACGGGCCGCGACTGGTTACTATAAAAAAAAAGGGAGGGATTTTTTTTTTTTAAAATAGTAAGTTTATTTATTCCCGCTTTTATTTTCAATCTATTAATATATAAAGACGCAACACAAAAATTCTTGAAATAGTAAATAAAAATTATTTAGAAATCCCGCCTAAATTTTTGCTAATAATAGTAATTTTTTTGAAAAAATTTTGCATTGTTCCGCCTATTCAATCATGATTTTATTTTATTTTGTATTAGTATACAAATCGAATCAGTTTTGTTAAGATAATTGCCCACTCCTAACAATTAACAAACTCCCTGCAGCTTAATAGGCCCATTCTATTCAATGGAAACATTTACCAAACATTCAAGTTGATTATAATCTATTTCGTAAATAAATTTATTACACTTCAAGTGTAAAAAAAAAAAGAAAAAAGGGAAATTACTAAAAAAATTATATTATTTATTTTTATTTTCTCCTATACTAAATACAACTTTTTATCTTTACCCACATAAAATGACTTGATGGAAGTTCTAAACCAAATAAATGTCCACATAACTTGCCATATGATATTTATAATAATTCGATAAATCTGTTAATATATAAAGTGACAATGATATTTACTTGAAATAACAACTAAAAATCAACAAAAAAACATTTGGTTTTCCGCCTAAAAGTATTTACTATATTGAGTAATATTTTTTGCCAAAATTTAAAAAATCCCGCCTAAATTTATGTAATTAATTTACAATATCATTTTGGTCAAATATTGCGACTATTACCTTTATTAGTTGCATGATTTAAATTTTAAATATAATATATTGACAAAACTTGCTGGTATTACCTTTATTAGTTTCGTGGTTTAAATTTGGTATATAATATATTAAAAAATTAAAAGATTTTTTTTTTTTAAATTAAACATAAAAAAATAATTATTCATAACTTATGGGTCAATATTAACTTAGATGTAAATAAAATAGTCAATTATTTATAGAATAATAAATTACTCAACTACTTAATTTTTATTTATTTGTATAGTTTGTACGGAAATAAATTATTTTAAGTAATGAAACAATATAAATTTTATATATATACTTGTTATTTACATAAGTTGTTAAATATATTATCACATTTTACTAAAATAATTATTTTATGAAATCATATTATAGTCAAATCTATTTTTTGAATACAATTTTTGAAATGATACTTATTTTGAAGCGAATATAAGGTAATTTATTATTAGTTATGTGCACCACACGAGTTGTATATTATTTTTTTTTATCTAATGTTGTACAATTTAAACTTTATATAAATTTTCAATAAATTAGTATAGATAATTGTATTACATATTAATTATATATTTTTAATTTAGAAATATTACTTAATAACAAATTTTAATTGATAAATATTAATGAATGTCTCTTAGCCGTGCACTGCACGGGACTCATACTAGTTTTCCTTAATTACTATTGTTGGTAATTTTTGCAAAAAATTTGAAAATTAGGGCGGCAGCCGGAGATCCCTATAAACCTCACCTGAACGGAGTCTTGGGCTAGTGAGAAATAGATCTGTGTTTCTGGAAGTTGAAGCTGCGCTTTCCGATCTTTGTCATTAAACCCTAGCAATTGGGATTCCCAAATTCATCACTGTGCAAACCCCAGCGCCCCCAGTAAATTTTTTCCACCGCGCTGCAATTCCGAGCGCCGTCCGCTGCCTGCTACCATCAGCTGTCGCTCAGGTCATCAGCCGCCAACAGCCGCTAATTCAGCCAGCACAGACCAACCGTCGCGATTTGCTGTTCGACATATGTACCTCCGTCCCGTCAAAGAGGTCCTCTTTTCTGGCGAATACGATGGGTGTTTTTCAGCACTTGCAGCCTCTATTCCGACTAACGAAATGGAGATTCACTCTCCTTTTCTTATTCGGGCTTTACCCTAAATTATAGACCCGGACGGGCCCGACAAAGGATTGTCGACTCTAATAACGACCGGATGCAACCGGGTGCTCAATGTAAACAGGGAAGTTCCTTACTTTCCTTCCGTTTATTTTTTATATCTTGCTTTGGAGTGTTTGAGTATGTGCCATGGTGGACAATGCCAAATCTCTCAGTGTGGAGTGGTGTCTTATGAGCTGCGTAGTTTTTCTAGTGTGTGCCGGTCCCTGGATATTGTTTTTCTCTGTATGCAAAAAATGGTTTTGGAGACCTTATACTAATCAGGGATTGATTGATTATTTGACAACGAATGCATGAGATTTAACACTTATTATCTTCCTTTGTATTCGTGTGATTTGAATTTATGAGCATACGTTAAATACCATGCTTCAATTTCTGGATTGTGTGCTTGATTTTTCTAGAACTTGCTTTGTATGATTTTGTATACATGAAATCCAAACAAGGTATTAGGAATGTCCCTTTGTTTTTAGCATGTTGTTTGAAAGCCTACCGTATAATCCTTTATAGACCCCTAGTGAGTCAACTTGAGTCTTATATTTGTTAAAAAGTGGAGTAAAAACGAATTTCAGTTAAGCCAGAGGAACAAGAGTTTCTTATGAGATTTGAAAGAAGGAAAAAGTCTTTAGTTGGAGAGACAAGTAAAATACTTAAAAGAAGTTTATTTTATTGTTCAACCTTGTTAAACCTCGAGATCGGATCGTTAAGGCTCGAGCTCGAGGCTTTAAGGAATCGAGCTCGAGCTCGATTTCTAGCTCGACTCATTTACAGCCCTAGTTATTACACAAGAATTTTCAATTGTATGCTAGGGATAAATGTGATCTAGTTTAAACAAACTTACATGTGCGTTTGTGCTTTTGTTGACTAGTCCTATTGTATGATGGGAGAGATGTGTGATCAATACTAAATGAACCTACATAGACACATTTGTTGACTAGAATTGGTAGCCCTTCTAGACATTTTTGATGTTGAGATTGATTAGAGAAATAATTAGAGAATGTTGAACAAGTGAAAAAGATAGGTTGTTAGGTCGTACCAACAACTATAACCAATTTACTCGAGATACCAATTATTTGTTTCCTCATGTCTCTTTCTCTTGTTCTTGTTTAGTTAAATTGCATTTTACTGTCATTAATTTATTTAGTCAGATTGAATATATCAAAACCCCCCCAAATTTTTTTATTTTTACTTTTATTCCTTCATGAATAGTTGTATCAGTCCTTGCCACTATTACTGTTTATTTTTGTGAGCATGAATTTATTATTGATGGTTTTTGACAGCCACCATAATTCAAAAATACAATATTTTTATTTGCCGAACTCTTTTATTCATTGCAACCAAACTTCATATGGGCCTAATGAGTGATTGATTTTATGCCTTTCGCTATCCCTTCACGACCGGCAACGGTTTTCCCTCGAGAAACGAGCTGAACATGAGAAGCGACCTCTTGGGTCGCGAGAAGGAAACTTCGTGTGAGGCTCCTCGCATTGTCGCATACGATAGATAGTCGCCATAGGATTGTGTCCAGCCGGCAACCTATGAAAGACTCACAAGTTTTGTTATTTTGTTTGTAGATAAACATTAAACTTTCAGACATATATGAATTTCTGACCTGTCTTCCTTCGAACCAAGCTCTATATGGTTTTGTCGTGTTCAAACCGAGTTGTTTAGCCAGACTGTGAACCAAAGTTCGGGTCCCAGTCAGCGGAATAATTGCATCTTGGTCCCCACTGTAAGACATTTTACACACACGCGCACGACATTAATTTATGAAATTTGCGGAAAATTTTGCAACCTGATAGTGAGGTCTTTACCTGTAAATTAGGATTCGGATGTTGGACTTGACTAGTGATCCTAAAATGCTGATGGTTGGTATTTCCATATTTTGCCAATTGTAATGTACAACACTGAAACCGAACATATGAATTTGAAGCATCGAGGAGAAAAATTATTTGATAGATGTTAGAAAATAGTTTATGAGCCAAACCACTAGAAAGTAGATTATATATTCTTATTTTTTGGATGAATTTGTTCTAATTCAGGTGGTTAATTTATAAAAAGTTGTATTTTTTTCCGGTTATATTTTCAGTTCAAGTTAGCGGCAACAATTACTCGCTGCAAGTGGTCCATTTTTTAACACCAACAAGACGAGCATGAAGAGCCTTCTGCACGTCTTTTCTGTTGAGGTACACGTACGTTTCATCCCATACGCATACATCTATCTTCGGTTCGTCTTGCTGTAAACAAACATATTATCAAAATCAAAGACCATCTCATAAAAATCACTTGTTTTAAGCATTGGTGAACGCCGTCTAAGAAGAATCGAGCTCACCAATTTATTGAGAAACCGAGATTGCTGCATAACAGAGAGACAAACATCGTCAGTGACATCATCGGTATCCACAAAGTCACTTATCTCTGATAAATACAAGTCCCGAATCCTTTTGCATTCACGTGTCATAGTGTTGGTGATACCTTGCCTTGCTATTTGAGAATAATTGCACACAAATGTCATTTGGTTATATGTGGAATCAGATATCAGTCCGTGAGACCACGAAAACTCGGCCTTCGAGTTCAAATCTGTATCTAATTCCAAAAGAGGATTTCCTATCTGTTTACCATCACCAAAAATAAAGAAAATGTAATCAATAACTTTATTTTACAACATATTTTACAATTCCTTTAATATTAAGGATATTGATTTAGATGTTACTCACTGCAACTCCTTTGAGGCTGAGTTTCGACTTTGATTGAATAATGAGGCTGGCTAGTTGTGGAGCATAATGCCCTGTTTATATAATAAAAAAGAAAAAAAGAATATGCTTGTTTTTTTTTCATTTTTGAATAAGCTTCATATGTGTAAATGTTGAATTTTCAGGTCACAAAGATGAAAAATCATATGTATGTATGTATGTATGTATGTATGTATGTATGTATGTATGTATGTATTTATGTATGTATGTATGTATGTATGTATACCTGAATAACCTTCTCCAGTAATGTAAAATTCTCTCTCTTTAAATTCTGGGAATTCTTCTATCCATTTCTCAAGGAACTTAAGGTTATCTCTAGCTAGAAAAAACAATAAACAAACAAACAAACACATAATAATTTATACAAAATTATATATATTACAACAAAAATTTCCAAAAATTAAAATGTCTTAATGATGTTAAGGCACAAAACTTGTAATTTTGTCGTCAACGTATTTGTAGAAGGATTTATTAGTAGAATATGAAAATCCAACTCCAGCCGATGATTCCAAGTACAACATATTTGCAGCTGCAAAATATAACAACAATTTGATATTATTAAAAGTTAAAATTACAATCATCACTTAATCAAGAATGTAGTAGTAAGAAGGAGAAAACCTTCACATGAATTAACCAAGTATGATTACCTTTGTTCCAACTGTAGTTATTTCGAACTAAAACTTTCCCGTTTGGTCTAAAGGGACCGTGTTCGACAAATGCCCCGACTCCAAATGACGAGCATCCAACCCCTGCAAAAATTTCATTCAATCCAAAAATCGCCCGAAAACGTCTTATAGACTGAAGTTTTATATGACCTTTTCAGTTTCATGTATCAAAGAACAAGCTGAAAACAAAATACTCCGTTCGTTTACTAATAAGTCTCGTTCTAAAACGGCACATGTTAGCAAACAGAGGGGTATTAACTAGTATACCTCCGTTTAACCAGAGAACAAGAGGCTTTGAGTCGGGCTCGGTTTCTGCCTCCACAAAGTAATAAAAAAGAAACCTTTCCTTTTTTTCGTCGACATTAATGTAGCCTGAAAATTGTTGGAAGTTGGCATTTGGCTGGCCAGGTAAACTTGATATTTTATCTGCTTTGGTCGTTATTAGATGATTCTGCAATGTGCATATTATTAGTAGTGTTATTGACCATGCTTGAGTAGTTGTCATTTTGTGGGACAAGACAAAAGGAGAGAAATTCAAAAATTCAGAGAGATGTGATGTGTTTAGTTATAAGTGATTCGATTGTGTTGGGTTTTGGGGTCTTTTTATACTTAGGTATTGGCTGATAAATATCGTCTCGCCTGTTGGGATTTTTTTGGTGTTACTATTCACCGCACTCTTTATTATTCCTATTTGGTAGTTTTTACCCTGATATTTTTTTCTAAAGAGTAAAAAAAAAAGTCTCCCGTCGGCCAGCCGACGAAAACCGGCCGCAACTGTGCACGGCAACAATTGCCGGCCAGCTGCCAGCTTGCACGGCCACAATTGCCGGTAGGCCGCACATTTTTTTTATTATATAAATTATGTTAGAATTTAGATATTAGTATGTTATAACTTAGAATTTATTATCTTATAGTTAGAATTTAGAAATTATTATATTATAAATTATAGTTAATTATGTTATAAAATATTATTATTATTATGTTAGAACTTAATAATTATTATGTTATATAACATAATACTAATTATCTGTAACAAAGTATTAATTATATGTAAGAAAATAATATAACATTTATAATTAGTGTCTATTAACAAAAATATACATTAAATAATATAACAATTTATATTATATTTTAAAATAATACTTTTTCCATAAATAAAAATTTATTTCTAATGCTAAACAAATTTCGAATAATGTAAATAATAAATTTTAATTTATAACATAGAATAATAATAATAAATTTTATAAAATAATCATTTCTAATTTAAACATAATAATTTCGAACATAATAATAATAAATTCTATTTTATAACATAATAATTTTTAAACTCTAACATTATTTCTATAAAAAAAATTGATTTGTAAAAAAAAAAAAAAAAAAAATCTGGCCGGCGGCGGTACCAGCCGTACACGCAGTTAGCCGGCCAATATTTTTTTGTTTTGAGTGTTTTGGAATACTGTCAAGGACAAAATAGTCCAAGGGGTCGTTTACTTTACGGGATAGGACAAGATAACTAATTTAACCTATGTTTACTTTAAAGGAATGGGATGGGATTGGTGTCATGTGGATACATGTGGCTGTGGGTCCCACCCTAATATCAACAATTGGCCGATTCAATGTATCCTGCCCTCCCCCTCGGATATTTTTATCCCATCTTTGGTATGACCACTTTACCTTTAAATTCTGACATGAAAAGACTAAAATAACCCCCTTTGTTAATGTATTTACATGTTTGTACCATATAAAATTTTGAAAACGGGGCCATTTGCAAAATTTCTTGCACACAGAAGCTTGTGTATCAGGGGAGAAGCACAAACACGAGATTGAGCTCCAACAATTAATTTGTGATTTTCATTTCCCAATTAAGAAACCATATTTGTTGTTGTCGATTATGTTGGATTGTGTATTGGTAATTGATTTTTTATTTTCAGATTTTTTTTGCAGAAACCCTAGTCTTAGACAAAAGTAAATCTCGCGCCGATTGATTCGGTTTTCGTTGAGGGTGAAGGTAAAAGGGTACTCTGTCTAAAGTTGATACATGATACCCATTTTTGTATGTCTTGAATTCAAAATTGAGGCTTTTTGCATCAGCCCTTTTGTTGTCTGTTCGTCAGTTTCTATTTTTTTTTTAAAATCAAAATATAATTTTGGTTGTGCTGGTCAATTGAATGATAACACAACTGGGCGAGATTCATATAAAGGAGGGTATAGGAGTCTTTTGTTTTGTATCCTATCACATAGTCCATGGAAGTAAATGAGGGATTTTTTTCACAAAAATTAATTACACAATGTAAACAATGCACTAAAAGCTGACGTGTAAAGTTGTCTGGATTATTTTGTCCAATCATGCCTTCAAAGTAAACGAGGCCCAAGAGGATGACACTTGATAGGTAGTAAAAGGGGTAGTGTTTAGCCATTCATTTTTTATTTTTTTATCCCACTTTTCAATAAAGGGCATTTTCACTTTCGTCCTTAAAATGCTTTGAGAGATGACCAGAAAGCCCTTACAACTAAGTGCAATTACAAGAATAGAACGTATACAACAACAATAACAACAACAAAGTCTTTTAGTTCCAAACAAGTTGGAGTAGGCTAAAGATGAAACCCAAGAGAAACAGTGGTAAGAGAAACACAAAAAATGACTCAAAACAAAACAAAACTCAAAACAAAACAAAACAAAATAAAGGAAGAGATTAGAACAAAAGAGAAATGAGCAAAAGTCATGGTTCCGGCACGTTGATCATTAACCCCCAAACGCTCCTATCCACCGCTAAATCTTTGGAGATATTCCAATACAACAGATCGAGGACCGCTAATCATCCAACTTGCCGCCTAGCTTCTTTTATAAAAATAAATAATAAATAAATAAAAATAAAAAGAGGAAAAACAACAGCATGAGTGCACATTTGA